TAGTATTAGCATTCATAACTCTGGTGTCCTAGTCTGGTCTATCTTGAAAAGCTGACAGAAGATCAGCAGAACTACAGATCTCATTGTCCACATCCAGGTCTCATTTGGCTGTGGATGATGCTGGTTGTAGGCCAATAAGCCTGGGCAGCTGTAGGCTAGGGAAGGCTGTGGAGCACCACTAATAACAACAATAACAATATACATATAACCTGGTCTGGGGTCCAGTTTGGGCAAAGTATTTTGGATTTAAACAGATGTTGGGCTGAATCCCCAGTGCTCACTTGCTTTTCACTAAATCCCACTGAGCAGGGTACAGTTTGTTTTCAGAGTAAGCAGGCATAAAATTGAACTGCCAAGACTTGGCTCACATACTTGGAAATAAAGTTCATTAAGTGTGATGGCATTTACTTCTACATAATAAATATGGTGTCTGCAAAATGCAGAAACCAGGCTATAGATCGAAACTTTATTGTGGTCAGTTTTTCAAGGGTTCATTTCTATGTCTCTTGTTCATATTTTCCAGGAAAATGCCAGTTTAAAAAAATATACGGGTTAGTTTTGCATCATAATCAGTGGGTGGTTATTGTGGTAAAATATCCATCTATAAAAGAGGGACAGAACGTCCCCAGTAGTTGAATTTTTGCTTAGCTTTGTTATCTGTTCAGTTACAAGCAATCAATACTGACAGTTAAGTGGTTTTAGAGCTCTCTTACTGAAATGTTGAACTAAACAAAATGGTCTGAATCTATTTTTAAACTCTTGAGAGCTCTGTTGCTTTAATATGTTTAGTTAACAAAAGTCTCTACAGTATTATGGCAGGGCATTCTGGTTTATTTTGCTTGGCATGCAACTGAGCGTTGGCCAGTTAAACAGTAATCTCTATTTGCGTATTAAATGCTCCTATGCATAAAGACAATAAAATTATTAAGCACTGGCCAGTCTAGTTCCAGTATCCTCTCTCTCCTACAGTGACTGTTGCATCACAAAGTAAGATATTTGCATCAGTGTCAGTCCAATGAAATGAATAGCGATTGAAAACCAGAAGAAAACAAAGCTTTCACAGAGAACTAGTTGCTTCTTCCAGAGTATTTTCAGTTTGTTTTGCTCTGATGCAGAGCTCTTCATAGCAAAATGAAAAATGAGATGGAATGAGTTTGTATGGGAGTAGGTTACATAGTGGAATGGATGAAGTCTTTTAAGGGATTAGTCCAGGACATTTTTGTTCGGGATGCTAATTTTATAAATGTTGCATTGTTTCCCCCACTCCACTTCAGAGGAAGTAGAATGTTTTGAAACTGAAATAGCAAATTAACTGCAACCTTTTTGAGGTTAGGGCTTGTGGCTGAGCATAAGAGCCCCTGAGAACATTTTTGGTAGTTCACATAAAAGTTCTTATCCTGTAAATCAGCAATTGGGCAAAACAGGTCGTGGTGGTATTTTAAATCTTTGCATTATTGCTAGTCCATCCGTATGAAATAGATTAGAAGGTCAAATTCTGACATTTCCAATTGGCACTTTTATTGTGGCCCCTGACTTTGCTCCTTCTGCCGGTTAAACGAATACTGCAGAAGATGGATAACCAATCTGATCTCACAGAAAGTACTTTTGCGTGATTAGCCGTGCTGATGTTGGTTATATGAGCGATCTCGCAGTGGAGTATAAAACTGTCTTGCTCATTCAAAACTGTGTCAGAGTCTCCTCTAGCTGGCGCATTAACTTTGTTTGCCCATAAAGATTTTAATCCAGGCATATGTTAAGTCAGCCCGTTTTCCTTTCTTCATAATTTGAATCAGCTCTGAAGGGTCAACAGAATTCTGAGGATTTTCAGCAGCTGGCATAAAACATCTGTCTATAACAGCTCCAGCTCAAGATTTTGGAGCAAAATGCCCTGAATAGTTTTTTTTTCATTTTGAGCAGACTTATCATTGTCAAGCAAGGCAAGTAGGGGGGATGTTACTTGTCTGCAAAAATCCAGGTGTCCACAAGATGGCAAGAAAGAGTTACAGAAAATGCCATCCAGTGGTAGCCCAGTTGTTTATAGACTAGAGATACAACAGGAGCTTATTTTGTTCCTATCACTACTTGCTTGTTCAGGGAATTCATAAAATAGGCAGTGAGAGTACAGTGGGTGAGCAGGAAGACTGGAGTTCCTATCTGAATGTATTCATTAACATGTCCCCAGTGATGCTGACTTCTGGCCTGACCTAGACTTTTTGAAATTCATCAGCTCTAGTGGCATTTCAGGATGGTACTTTTAACATGTTCCAGAGCCCATCACATGATGTTGGGCAATATAGTGCCATTGAATCATCCAAGCAGGTGACCTTTCAATGTCCTAGTAACATGGCCCTGTAAACAAAGATTCAGTTTCAGCTGAAGATAAGGAGTAAGATGGTTTCTGGGGGGGAGGCATGATGCCTCCTTAGATAACATTTAGACAGTGCTGTTCTTCTAGGATTCAAATGGCAGCTACTCTTGTTCATGGCTTTCATCGCTGCATCACCGGTTACTATCTCAGGCAATATATAGATAGGTCAACTTGTGTAGATACATCAGAATATTCCTGGATATTCTGTATTCTCTAAGCACTTGTCCATGTTCTTCCTGAAAATGATGCATTTTTGGACTGGCTAGGGTCAAACTGCAAAATGCCTATAGAAATCCAATTCCATCTTCACATCAGTAGCATGAACAGAATATTTGATCATTTGATGATATATTCCCTTCCTTTCTTTTACAATTATTGAGACAGAGGACTTGGAAATCAATTAAGGCGCCAAATTTGATTGATGGGTGATTATCAAGACAGTCATGTATGGAATAAAGCCCATAGGAATGAATTTGACAATTGTATATTGTGGGATGAGGGTGGGGG